GTTTTGTCCGTCGTGTTATCCGTTTGTCTAGACAATTTTTCGGAAATAAAAATGAAACGTTGTTCTCGCGCCACTCCCCTACCTTTAGGGAAGCTTTAAGGAAAATAAAAAAAGACGGTTTGTAGGAAAAGTGCTCGAGGAGCTATCGATTAGAAAAATTGTATTATTATCGGCGATTAGGAAATTAAATATGCCGGGGAAACTCTGAAACGCGTTATTCTTGATACGAAAGATTTTTTTGGGGCGTAAACGAATAAAAAGAAACGTTTCAGACGGGGGGAGGAAAAAGTACCTCTGGTGGAACTGAATTTTATTTTCCGCGGGAATCGGAACGATCGAGAGGAAAAGTAGGGAAAAATAGAGAAAACCGAGGAAACACGGTAGGTCGCGATTTTAAAAGATTTTATTACAATTTAGGCTTAATGTGTTCAACGAGAAGGTAAATTTGAACGAAACCAGCGCCGAGGTCGAAAGAAATTCGCGATCCGAAGCGAGGGGTTGGGGGCTTGAGAGAAAAGAAACAGAGAAAAAAATTATACGAGTTCAAAGAGCCGCGAACGAAATTGCGAGAATTAGCTGGCCAGGGCGGGTGGGGGGGGTGGTGGTGGTGGTGGTGGGGGAGGGGTTGCGGAGAGGTCGGGGGAGAAAGTGTGCGAGAGAAAAGGATGGGGCATGTGAACAGGCGAGAATGTGGAAGAGATTAAAATTAATATTGTATAAAAAAAAAAAGTAGTAAGTGCCTTCCAAAGAAAAAAATTTAACGTGTCCCGTAGACCGTGACCACTTGTACATGATGAAAAGTCGTTCGAAATTTCGCATCACCGTATGAATCGTTTGTGACTAAAAAAAAAAAAAAAAAAAGATGAAAAAAAAGAAACTATGAAGAGAAATGGAAAAAATAAGCAAAGAATATTATTTGTGGGGACGTTGCGTAAAATTATGAAACAGTTTGTTCCGAGTAAGCGTATATGATTCTCTTCGTCTCGTCTCGAAGTCTCAGAGCGACGCTGCGCGATTTCTACGAGGAATATTAAACGAGCGCACGGTTTATAGTCGAGGATTAGAACCAAATGGAGGAACTCGAATATTTTGCGAAACAAACTTTTGGCTCTTCTTTTACGTACCGACGCGATGGAATTTCTTCTGTCGATTACGCAATGTGTCTACGAATCCTTTTGTGTGCGTGATAAGAGCGAATGTAACAGGATCTACAAGCAAACCGGACAAAATTTCTGTTTCGGATCTAACCCATCAACCGGTAATACCCTGAATGGCATATTCTCGTAAACGTTTCGAGCGAAGATAGACGGTGTAAAGGAGGGAGGGTAAAAAGCGTGTAGCTTGAATCAACAGAGGGAACGGATATTTCGAGGAACTTTCGTTTACGCATTTTGATATATATCTGTGAACGGATGAAGAAAAAAAAAAAAAAAAACAAAGATACTTATATTACATACATAAGGTGTAAGTGAACAAAAAAGCATCTAATACGCTATTATTGATATAGGACACAAAGTAAAGTAAATATATATATGAGACAAAAAAGTATATATATACATAAATTGATATATTGACGCTATATAAGGTTGCTGCTGGATGCGTTTTACTTTGAAGGAAGATGGTGCGCCAGTTTTCCGTTCAAACGTCGTCGAGGACGAAACAAAAGTTCACAGGATGAGATTAAGTTAGACAAAAGTATAAGGACCGTAGAGTCGAAGACAAAGTAGCTCTTAGAATTTTTATCGAGGCAAACGTAAGGACGGACGGGCGTGACGCTAGTATACTTTCCAAGAGACAGTGAGAGGGAGAGAGCACCTGGCCATTTGTCCTCGTGGCTTCTGCGTTTCGCTCGCTTATCGATCGCTCTCTCGGGTTTTCCGTCCTCTCGATCCGTCTTGCGCGTCCATCTTTCCACGAACACCCGAAACCGTGGATCGAGACGTAACGATGGGCAAAATTTCCAGTAACGAGTGAAAAAGTGAAAGAAATCCTTCGATAAAAATTGAATCGCGTTCGATCGAATAAATTGCTACGCGTCCAACTTATTTGTCGTCTATTATTCGAGAGGAATTCTGCCCATCTCTGTCGACGGCAAAAGGAAAAACATCGCGAATCGAACGCGAGATCGAACGAAAGACTCGCGAGCGAGGCGCTCGTAGTCGCGAGGCCAACAACACTCAGCTGCGGCTACATCGACGCGTTAACGTTTGGAAATCGTGCTGTTATTCGATTAGTTTGAATTTTTTATTAGTCGCAAGAAAAAGATGGTCCGTTAACTACGCTTAGAAACAGTGACATCCGACTACTCGATCGATTCGTTTATCGCTTAGCTCGAATATAAATTACTTTACGAGCATGTAAATAATTCAAAAGTATAATTCGTGCAGTAGAGAGTTGACATAAAAAAAGGATAAGTTGTTTAACCCTTCTATACGGGCGACGACTATAGTCGTTGAAAATAATTGATGGTGGCCGATCGACGCCAAAGGGCATAGCAAGCGCAATGGCCAATCAACGCCGCGGGCACTTCGATCGTTGCGCGATCGGGGAGTCCCGTAGCGAAAGGGTTAACCCCGTAACTCGTAAATATTCGAAGCAACGGCTTCTCGAGTATCGCGGTATCCGAACGTTAACGCGAGTCTTGTACACACAAATTTCTAATGTTCTACTTCAGGAATCCGTGAAACGGGATCTAAAATGTATCACGCACGCGCCGAACTCTTTTTCTTTATTTTCTACCTTAGCTTCGAGGTATAACATCGTATTATAATTAATGATCGACCCGATATGCAAGCCACACTTGATACGCGATAAAGAAAGGAAAAAGGTACCGAAAAGAATCCCAGCAAGCGGTAAGAATGAAGCGATAAACAAAACGTAATAGTCCCGTATCTACGATTTATGGCTAGTTTACAGGACGTGTAACGTGTAACGGCATTCGCTGTTGAAGAGAAAGAGAAACGTTACGACAGCGGAAGAAGAAACGCGCTCGGAGCAGCGAATAGAAAGGGGAAAAGGCGCGCCCGACAATCGCGTGTTTTCCATTTCTTTGCTGCGCTATAGACCGAACGATTCGAGGATAAACTCTAGGTGGCATCCTAATTTACAGGAACTAGTAGTCGAGCAATAGAACCGCACATTTTTCAGAAACTGATTATTTAATCGTACACACCCCGGCCGCCTGCCGAAATCCGACACACACGCACACAAACGCGCACCCGACAATTGTACGGTCACGTACATGCATAACCTACATACACACGTACACAAAGAAAGCACGACGGTATAGGGGACAGCTACGAACCGGCTGGAGGCAAAAGATCTCGGCTGCTCAAGATCACCAACGTTGAACGGACAGAGTCGCATCGAAAATACACGGTCGAGTTGCTTTTCTAGCTAGAGGACGAGGTTCTATTCGTTACGGATCGAATAAACATTAGAATCTCAATTATACGATACGTCTCGTATCGAACAAGATGGAACCATTGTTCGATCCAATAAAATTTGACGTGCCTCTGCTCCAGACCGACTGAAATTATTTGACTTTCTTTATTACTTCTTGGAAACATCGAAGAAATAAGAAAGCTTGATCGTTGCGACGGGGTGTAATCGATCGACGGTCTCGAACGGTCGCATTCTTTTGCCTCTATTCGAAGAACGCGGCGAATAAACGGAAAGTATTAGCGAGACAAGAAAGAACGACAGAAAAGGAACAAGTACACTAAAGGAGAACACACAGTACGCTACGCGACAGACAGGCACAGCCGCGCGTTCACTGTAAATAGAGAGAATGCAACGTTAATTGTACGGAAAAGTTCATCTTTATTATCGTAACCTGTAATATATTTATTTGCCCGATCGTGAAGATACTTTTACGTAGTTTAAAGATCCGAGGCCTCCGTTTCATTTGAATCTGTCGCCGAAGCACGCTAACGTGGCATTGGTCGCGCGCAACGAGGGAAAGCGTTTCGTTTTGGTACGATTACAAATATTTTTCAAAGTGTTTGCGAATGAAATTCTGGAGCGTGTGGCCTCTCGGACCAATGCCTCGCGATACAATTGGGAACGAGATCGAAACAGGACAATCGTTTTTCGACGTTCTTTACGGAACCGAAACGTCCATCCTGTCTTCGTTGTTGTTTCTAATCTCGATCGATAACGTTCGAAATCGTCGCGGCCTATAGAAGAAAAAAAAGAAACGCTCGCTATCCAAGGACGACGACAAACGCAAAGTTTCTTTGCAGATGGCGATAGTTTATAATTATTATTGTTTCTATTTTACGTTAAACAATGTATTTCTTTTGAGTAGATAGTCGAGAATTGATTAAACCGACACACCCATATGCGAATAGTTGCGCGCGTGTCTTTACCGGAGACGCCCGAAATAATGTGTATGTACCCGTGACGAATCGCGAAGCGACGTTTGTTTTCCGTTCTCTTCCGAACCACCTCGGAATGCACCGAGACTTCGGAGAGAGATAGTTTACTTTTTAGTCACGGATACAAAGCAAAACCTGTCACCCATTACAAATTCCTCTTTTATTTATTACCGATTAGCATGTAAGATGACGTTCTACCGACATATGCTATAATTATAAATACACCCTATATATAGTGGAGTAAGCGTTACATTACCTACCTACCTTACCTACCTACCTACCTACCTACCTACCTACCTACCTACCTACCTATCCGTGCTTGACGGGTGAAACAAACAGATGAATCACGCAATCATACATTTAAGTTGCTATTTGGCACGTATATCTAAGTAATATACTAACATAAACAGTATGCAATAATAAATATGAGAAATTAAACACGATCTCTTTCACTGAATCGTTCGATAAACCCCCTCCTTTGAGTATCCTGTGTTTTATTGCACGCAATATTTCACCTATCGTTCCCGAGAAGAATTTCAATTACAACCCGCGACGAATACGAATTTCTACTAGAAAATATGGAACGGGTAGAGGAATAGGTGAAATCTTCGTCGCGGTTACTTTTCTTGAAAACAGTTTTTATTTACATTTCATGATAAATAAATTAATTTGACTTTCTCTGATAAACTCAAAGTGGAAACTTTGTATACCATCGTACGAAGACGCTAGAATCTGTGGGTTGGCAAAAATGGGCAGACATGGAGAAGCTTCGAAGCGAAGTAGTTTGAGTATCTTAACAATTTTATATAGGTTCTCGTATCTTTTCCAATATCCTTCGATCACGGTTCCTTTTCCCAGTAAAAAGACTTTGAGATCACACTTTTCCGCCGGTTTGTATGTTATTCATATTAACGTTTTGTTGCACCGGAACGTTCGCGTGTTGCGAGTTTGAGTGGCTTGGATTATTTGGTTGTGGTACCGCATTATTTTGGACACTTTGCGGTACTTGATCTTGTTGAACTGGAATTTGTCCTTGTTGCTGAACTGAAATTTGGCCATGTTGTTGAACCGGAACTTGTCCTTGTTGCTGAACTGGAATCTGTCCGTGTTGCTGAACCGGAACTTGTCCTTGTGGTTGGGCGATGTGTCCTTGCACTGATTGCACTGGTACGTGATTAGGGTATTGTTGCTGAGAAACAACTTGAGGATGTTGAAGATATTGCGGATGATTTTGATCATGGAATTGTTGCTGATGCGGAAGATCCTGATTGGGTCCTCTTGGGTTTGCGAAGTCCTGAGGATGCGGAGACGCGTATTGTGGCGGGAACTGTAAATTGTCGGACAAATTTATATCGCAATTCGTTTTCGATTAAATATAGTTTTCAACTGCAACGAGCACACCGATAGTACAAACGAAAACTTCTTAATACCCTCTTCTACCGTGTTAAGTTTACTTTCTTCTTTTTTCTTTATACATATTATAATTTGAAACATTGCAATTACTTACCGCGTCGTGTTCAGCAGGTATATTACCTGGGTGTGGTTGTAGCTAATAACAGCAACAAAAAGTGCATAAGCTAATTATTATCAATTACGAACACATTACAAACAACACGGCGTAAAAACAAGAAACAAAACGAATGAGTCGATACTAATGACTAAGGACACCACAAACTACGGTATTCTCATCTAGGAACAAAATTGAAGTACTAGACGATATACTATTATATCTCAAGTTTCAAATCTTCCGTCACAAATGCTACTCGAAAATGTCGCACTTTGTTTCCTCGAATACCAATTGCGTCGTAAGATATTTCAAATAGTTACTGTTTTTATTGTTACTTTACACATGCTACTAACTAAACGTGTATATTAAAGCATCAAAGATAACACAATCGATGCAATAAAACATTTCTAATAATCAAAATCAATCGTTGTTATAATTATTTATATTTTTGTACTTACCATTCCTTGAGCGATACGTCTTTGCATTTCCTCCTGCTTGTATCTTTCGTAAGCATCGAATTCTTCTTGGGTGTAAATTTGTTGTTCGTCTAACGGCTGCCAACCTTGGTCTTGTTGAAAATCGGGCCTCTTGGTTTGTTCCAAAAATTCCTCGTAGCTGTAATAATAACGTAACGTCAACGTTGTTTAAAATAAATGAAAATCGTATATACACACCTAATAAGTCCATCCTTATTTAGGTCAGCTTCGTTAAATACATGCTCTCTCATTCTTTCCAGTTCTTCCGCGCGCTTAAATAAAACTTCCTCCGATGCCCCCTGAGCATAAAGTTTATCCAATTCCTTCAAAAATAGTGTTTTGACCTCGTCTTGATCCCACATTTGGTTACCATCGATATCTATGATATTTATTGTTACACGTTAAATAAAGTTGCATTTGAAATAAATCGAGTAGTAATTTTTATCGATCGACATTTTTCATAATATTGTATTACCATGTAAGAAAAAGAATGTTCTGGGATTAAAATCTTCGCTATCCATGTGATCCTGTTTCTCCCATACCTCTTCCAATTGTTGTTTACTACCCGGATGATGTATCTATAGACGAAAAACATTATAACCATAACAGATAGAAAAAATGTAGACAACATATATATTATACAACTTACGGGGTCGTGTTTTTTTTGCTTTTCTCTCAATGCTTCTAATTCTTCCTCGTACTTTTTTTTCTCGATTTCGTTCATATCTATGATAAATAAGACGCATCGTTAGAAACAATATTAGTACAAAATAGAAACTATACAGTCAATCTATAGTCGTACGTTTTAATTTTTCCTGCTCCTCAAATTTTTTTTCCATTTCGTGTTGCTTAAATTCCTCCCGTCGCTTTCGGTCAGCTTCTGCCAAATCCTTTGTAGTCTGGAAGAAAAGACTAATTATTAAAAAAAACTAATACATCGTCTCTGTTTATTAATCGCAATTTAGATCGATAGTAACTTCGTAATACCTTGGCAATTAATTTCCTCAAATCTTGTACTTCAAACGATCGTGTATTAACATAGTCTAAATGTTCGGGTATCTTAAGATGTTCCGTATCGAGACCGTATTTTATATCGTTTTCTTTTGTCGCGAGATGTCTCAATCTCTCTAGTTCTTTCCTCTTTATCTCATCCAACTTTGATCTAACATTGTGATTCAAAAATTGTAGCTGATCAGCTATTTTTCCAGTCTAACAAAGAAAAAGCAGTTCACAGTCTACACTTTTTATTGTTGGTTTCAAAAGAATATCGTAAATCTAACTCACACGTATATCTGCGTCATCTACTTTTTCCAGCTTGGCACGAAAGTCTGGATCGCTTTCGAGCACTTGAACTACTTCCATCAGGTACCTACGATACTCCATAATGTCTGCCTGTAGAAAGACAATACTATATGTACAAGTTTTGTTACAGTAAAAACACAAAACATAAATAGTACAAAACCTACCATTTCTTCGACTTCTTCAACTTCATTGTTTCCATCGTGTTCTCCATCCTTAGTTTTCTGATTAACAGGAGGTGCAACGGATAACTGCACTGTTATGATTATCGAGACAAATAACAGGAAATACTTCATATTTCTGCAAAAAAACGCAATGCAACTAAATTTAGAAACGATTATAACCTTGAAACAAAAACAGCATACTCGATAGATCAAATGAATGGACTTTTCGAAAGCAATTTTCCAAAAATATCACTTTGACGATGGTTTTTCAATTTACCACGTTTACACTAGAATCGACTAGAACAACTGACGACAGGTCTAACGAACACGCAACAGATGTTTCATCACGAGAATTATTACAATGAAGCATTTACATCGAAAATGTGCTGATGCGATTAAACGTTTCAAGCATTCCATCCAAAACTTAAAGAGATTCTAACAACTGTCCAACAATCAAGAAATCCAAAGTATCCGACGAATGGTGATCCATGCAATTTTCTATTGCATCGTAAAATCGTTGCACGAGTACGAAAAACGACGAAAACTTTCTCCCGAAACTCAAAGAAATGAAAAGCGAGACACATCCACGAACTCGAATTCAAACAGACTGATCGAGGTCACGTACAAAAAAATATATATACAAAGAATTCTTTTTAATATTAAAGTTTACCGTTACTTTGATCGGTTTCAGTGAAAGTAGTAGAAATGCAACAATTTTCACTCGTCGCGACAAGAACAGAAGGCTCGTTGTTTTCGCTTGAAATCTAACCAATGAAAGTACGCGGCTGATCTTCGTGCACGAGTAAGTAACCGTAATCGCATATAATCGTACGTGATTGATCAGTCGCGAGATAAGATTAACGATACGTACTATATGTATGTGTGTACCAAGATTGGATGAACGGCGAACTCGTCCAGAATATTCAACGATGGTTTATCGATGCAGGAACGAAAGAAGACTCGCGTGTAACACGGGGACGCAATCTTTGTTTCCCAAATAGATAATGACGCGAGCCTCGGTAGTGGTATTTTCACCGATACGGAAAAAGATCCATGGGAGTTCCCCACCCGACTGCGACCTGCTTTGAACGATCGCTGACGTTGGTAATTGATATCGGCTGACGTCAAGATCTCAAAGAAAACAAGACACAAACAAGATCAACGGAAACACGGGACTGGTACTGATCAGTACCGGTCAGTATCGATTAATGCTGATATATTCACGATGCACGATCATAGAGATCTCTGTGGATACGATCCCTCCTACCGTCGACATTTTGTCCATACGTATACGATCGAGTGCATTGCGTTGCACGAGTTGTACAGCTTCTGCGCTAGATGGCGATAGGAGTATGTAAATAGAGTGCTTCGTTATCCTAATCTATAATTAGGATATGAACAAAATACGTAGGGAAACAAGTAAATTTTTTTGGATTAATTTCTTGACAATCATTGGTTTTCTTTCGATTGTTGCGTCGTTTGTCGCGTGGACGTCTCCTTTCAACGGAGTTTAATTATCTAGAACTTTATACTTGTAATTGTATACGTTTCAGATCGGTCGATGGGTATTCGTTGCGTTCCATTTAAAATCACCTTTGACCTTTAAACGATGCTGCTGCTCGCTAATTGACGAGTTTAATGGAAATTGATTTCATCTTGTTATACATAGGTATTTATGATGTCCAACCTGCGCAATTTTAGGCGTCATTCAGATCTTTCGAACAAGTTAAGCTTATGTTACTTGATATTTAAATTACTGTTACGGCATGCAACAATCGCGAGTGATAGTATCGCGATGACACGATAAAAATAAAATAAAACCCGAAGAATGCTCGAAAGCAATTTCTTCTTCTGTAAAGGATTCGCGTAGCATTTCACATTTACCAACGACGTTAAGGAAACATTTCATATATATCGCAACATCGTGTCAAAATTATCGTCGAACTGGTTTTTGTACAGTTTTACCTTGACGGTAGAAATCTAAAGAGGAGGTGAAAGGATCGAATGCATAACTAGAAATAGAGTACGATATACAACGGATATTACGACCACGCCCGTGACCGATCGAAACCCGTACCGGGCAACAAAATTATCCTGTCAGTTCGAACGTGGCGCGAAGAATAAGACAAAGGTTTCGAATAGTTTATCGTTTTATTGCGTTCACCGTAATAATGGCCGCAGTCGAAATTGCTTCTGTTCGAGTAAATTGCAGTCGCTGCAAATCGTAGATCACGTATACACTTTTAATTGTGTTTACCAACTTCGAACGAAGACGTCTCTTTAAAATAAAGTAAAAGAACAAAGTGCTCCGGAAATGGCGTATCGCGTAATCGAAGAATGGCGCGCGCCCTCAGGGGAAGAATGGCGAGGGAGAGCTCGTCAAGGATCGCGGCCACCCCGGCGAACACGTTCGAAGATTCGTGAACCTTTGAATTCCTCGAACGGTCATTAGGATGAAAGTATACCTGTGTCCGCGATCCTTCGTAGACCTGTTGCCTACGGACAATGCTCGGCCCGACAAGTGTTTTCGTATCTGATTGACCCATCTTTGGACCGAACGCTCCGACAAACGGCTAATTTTTCTTCGAGCTAACGACCTTCGTATACCTGACGTATCCCTGGCCCTCCCGTCTCACCAATTTTGTCTTTTCGACTTTGTCTCTTTCTCGCCCCGTGAAACGTCCCCCGAAGGGCTGCGAAGTTACGCGTAAACACACCAAAGAACGAGTCGAAGACACCGTGAACGGTATCAGAAACGAAGCTTCGAAGGAACGAATTTCGATTCCATTCGAAGGAAACGATGCAACCGTTCTGGGAACGTCAAGATCGCATTGGACACGAGACGCTGATTCGCGAAAGTGTCCCAGCGCCGCGAAAAGCGGGTTCCAGGGAGTCGACGCGTCGTGTCCGACTGGACGAAAAAAGTTCTCGGTATACGGCGAGATATGGCGGAAGCAGCTAAATACTTAAACGCTCGAAACTCCGGGCTTAAATGCCGTTGATTGCAGTAGGAGGGAAATGAGAGGTTGCACGATGGACTCGTGTCTCGTAGCTAGCGAGCGTTCTTGAAGAAGGCGGCGCGCGTACCGGTCCGAGTCCTTCCTTGAATCGCCCGATAGATGATCACTCTCCTTTCGATCGTGCTCGACACGCGGCCCGATTCCAGATTCGAAAGCTTCGCCTAGGCTTGTTCGTTCGTTCACCCTGACACTAATCGTGTCTGTCTGTTTCGTTGCCCCGCGTCGCGCTGCACCTTACTTTTATATACTTCGTAACTCTTCTTTTTCTTCTTTTTCTTCTTCTTCTTCTTCTTCTTCTTATTACTATTATTATTAATCAGCTGAACAAAATATTACGCGTCTTGTTAGACAAACTACAATTTTGGTTACTCGCCATCGCGTGCACTTAGCCGCGAACGAGCGTTTAGCGTATCTGCGATGGATCTTTGTCATGGGTCAAGCCCTATCGAGCTTCCGTTCGAATAGTTTTCACTGGTTTCCTCCACGCGAAGACGCTTCCTAGTCGAGACACCTGTGTCAAGTTCACAGATACCATCGACGATGGCAAACAACGTTGTTTTGGCACTCACCGTAAGGGATGATCGGCCATGAGATAAACCGAACGGAAACATCTTAAAAGGTCCATCCCGATTTCAGTGAAACTTTACAGTTTCGTAGAGTGGTCGAAAATAAGGCGATTCCGTATTTTTGTTGCGGCAATAGCTCGAGCTTAGGGGGTAAAAGTGCTAATCTTTGAAATAAATTTGATTAAGGGCAATTAAAGCAGCTCTGCGAATATGCAAAATCGTGGAGGGGGAATGTCTGGTAGACCTTCCTCGTGAGAACGAAGAAGAAACCGAATAGAGAGATGGGGGCGGAGAAGGAGGCAGGAGACCGGTGAAAGGGAGAAAGAGAGAGGAACGGAAAGGTAGAGAGGCAGCGGAACAGGTAAAACAAAAAGTCAGGAAAAAATTGAAAACCTGTCTCGCGCGGTTGGTCGCTCGGAGTCTCCGGCAGAATGCGAGCGGACACTCTTCTCCTTTTCCACCACCATCGCTATCAGCAACCACCACCACCAGCGTTGTTCGGCAACGACTTACGGTTAACAACTACGCCAGCGGCTGCAGCAGCACCACCGCCAACCGACTCGCTTGGCTACCATCGCCAACACCTCCTTTTTCCTCCTCCTTCACCTCTTTCCCTTTCCGCTTCTACGTTTCTCTCGGTCCACGTCCTTCCTTAATTCAGTCCAATGAGAGCCGCTCTTCGATTCGTCGCACCCGTCACAGAGATCTCTACGCGTTGATTTCCAGAGGATACCTTTTCTCCGTTCCGTCCGTTCTGCTCGGCTCGACTCGCCTCGCCTTCGCGACCAGTGTGCCGTGCCGCGGTTAGGTTCCTCGACTCTTGCGACGCTCGCGTCTTCCATTCGCCTTCGGGATCGCAGTTTCGCCAGTTTCGCCAGTTTCGGTGTGGTAACGATTGGTGCTGAGAGAAAGCGTCGACTAGCGCCGATCGACCGAGTGAATCGCGAGGAATCAAAGGATATAGTGGACGGAACGGATGAGACTCGCGTGCGTGCCTATCTCGAACCGCGTACTCGAAGGATCTTCCAGGAATAGGAAGCCCCTTCGGAGGTCCTTCTAGGAAGAGAAAGAAAGAATTCCCTTTGCGGTAAAGAGAGACTACGATAAGGATATACCTCGCGGAGGAAATATGTCTCGTGGCAGTCGCAACGTGAACCGGTTGCGCGCTCTTAAAATAGTTCTCCGCGCATAGGTTTACCCGCTCTGCCCATCGCACAGCTCGCTGGAATACGTCGCAGGACTGCCAGGTAAACATCGAACGAATCTCACAATCGGTCTTCTTCTCTCGATCAGGAATCAGAAAATACTTCTTCGGAGGCACACCTCTGACCTTGTCTCCGAGATACGTTGTCCATCGCGAAGCGCGTTTTGCACCATCGATCGCGGTAACTACGCTTCGAACCGTTGCCCCGATCGACCGAGATCTTGCGATGCACACTGGACCACGCAGTGGTATATACGTCTCCACGGGGCTCAAGACGGAATGCCGCTTCGAGGCAGAGATCTAAAGACGAGACGAGTGGAAACGTTTTTCAAAATCGCACAACAAATTACATAACAACGATAGATATAGATGTCATCGTAATTTCAAGTATCCGTACCTTGCCGATTTTTCAATGAAAATCCGTCCACGTGTTCCCTGGGGGTCTCGTACGTGTTGATCCGTCTTCACGCGATATCAGATTCTTGAGAAACCTCTTGGCCGCGAGCACGCATTTACAGTCGGCCATTTCACGATCGATCGAGTCAGTCTTTTCTATAGTTTCCAAGAACGAGGATACTGGCGAGACCAGTCTAATGCGACGCTTTGCGATAAACCATCCAATCATGTTTACGGCAGACGTGAATTCGCAGTATCTGCAAACTTGGAACGATCCTTTGTTGACAAAACAGTTTTCCTGCGAAATAAAAACATAAACAATAAATGCGAAAGAGGAAGTTGGAAGAGAGGCGTAACGGGAAGATTCGAAAGCCCCGGACCGCATCGCGAACGTAGGTAGACGCCACGGTGCCTTCCACGAAGCCGATTGCCGTTTGTTATTGAAGTTATTCCATCGCCTCGGGCCAGAACAAGGCGAGGCTGTAAGCAGCACGTCTGTCCCTGGGTGACGAGCGTTTACATTTCAATACAGCTGGAATTTTTCTAAAACCGTACGTTCGATGTCTCGTCTTCGATGCGCGCGGCGCCTCCGTAGTGATTCCTTCGTTGCATAGGACATCCGCAGCATTTCAATTAGCCACACTTCGTGGAATAAAAATTGCAGTCGTTTCTACGGAATCGCAACGACGTGTTTTCGGTCATGTAGAAACGTCGCTGCGACGATGGCTTTCTTTTTCGGGATCGTAATTCGGAACTATCGATCGTGCTATCGGTGACTATTCGTCACCATATTTTCCATTGGCAGAAGATTTCTAGCAGCAAACTACTATAAAATATTCGATGGTTTTGCTCCGTTGAAGAAGATTGAGCGAAATACGCGCGATAAGAAATGTCTTCGCGAATGAAAATCATCTACTATTCAACGCTCGAAAGTTCAATCGCATTCAGTGAACTTCTCCGACTTCCAAGAATGCAAAGCATTTGCGCGTCAATTGCCGTGCGTACGGTTCGCAAATTGTATTCCGCGACGCGTGGATAGGAAACGTTTTTTTAAATAAACACTTGCAAAGTTATCGTTGGCGAATGGAAGAGGAGATGAAATTTAATTTGATTTCTATCGAGTAAAGAAGGTGGGATTCTTACGAAGTTCTCGAAAGGTGTCCTCTGTCTCTTTTCCTCTGCGTTCACCTGTTGCGAGTGCCTGAAATCCTCGACCACTACTGGGGATTTAATGAAGTGGCGCTTGTCGAGGGTGGCACAGGGTTACGCTGGCGTCAAAGGGACACGATTACCTGGAAGAAGTCATCGTAAAACCGATCCATCCGCTCGGTATTCATTTATGACTGCACCTTTCGGACGTTAAAGTGGGGGAGTTTGTGTGAAAATCGAGACTCGTCCTTAAATCCTGTTAGTCGGTTGAAGTTCGTTCGAATAGGACAGGCGCCAACCAAGTATCGTCGAAGCTTTTCTTATGGATCGCAAAATCGTATTCCGAAGCGAAGCATCGCCAGGCTAATACTTCTTCGCGAGGTAACGTACAAATAATCATTTTGTCGGAACAGCACGCGTAACTGGTCGTTGAAATGGAATTCCTTTCCAATAATAATTCACTTGAAATGTCGTAGGATGTGATTATGCGCGGTATAAATAGTCGTTTAATTGGCACGTTTGAAAGCTGTAGTTATTACGCGCGCGATCATTTTCCATCGAATTATCGGACTTTGCGTCTTCGAGATCGTTTCCTTCGTCGGTCTTTTATAAACCTCTTTCGCATTCCAGTATTTGCGAGATTAAAAATTCGTTCTTTTGGTAGTCATTTCTCTTAATGACATCTCCTGACTCATGTTCATGAATATTCTTAATACCCTTAATCGAGGCTCATGGTCGTAATCAACGCACGCGATTCACGGGTCTTCCGTAGACACGCGTCTCGTTGCTTCTTCGCGACGTCACGTTGTTGGAAAGAAGCGGCGCCAATTTTATCGCGGTTTTTAATTGCCACCGATAACTTTCTCTCGGAACACGTGGACTCGATATCCCTGGTCGTAATTTATCATCTTCGAAGCGTAGCTTCGAACATCTGTCGAGGACTGGACCGGTGTGACGTTAATGTCCATTGACGGTTGTTTCTTTAGAACACGATGACGAGCTGGAGCAGGACGCTGGTCGTGGGCATCATCGGAATCTTGCTTCTGGCGGCGACAAAGAACTACAGCGAGGCTTGCAACGAGGCGATCTGCGCCAGCGTCGTGAGCAAATGCATGCTTACGCAAAGTTGCAAGTGCGATCTCGTTACCTGCACTTGCTGCAAGGAATGCTTCTCATGCCTCAGCTATCTCTACGACGAGTGTTGCTCGTGCGTAGGTAAGACAACACTTCTCAACGATGCTTTTCATCGAACTATTCTTCTTCGTTATTCTACGTAATTAATATGAAAACACTATCTAATTACCATTCTTAATCGTTCGTTCCGTTGCCCGCAGACCTATGTCCAAAACCAAACATCACGGATAATCCATTGAGTAAAAAGTCACACGTGGAGGACTTTAGCGAGCCTATGCCAGGTCTGTTTCAAGCGTTAACCGCTGAGCCGGATCCGCACGAGAGGTGGCTCACGTTCACGTTTCCGGTGGACTTCGACATGTCTCTGTTCACGCCGAAGCACGAGAAAGAGATGAAGTATCATATGCGTGCGTATCTCTGGAATTTTCGTAATCCATCATGTGTTCCGCGCCATCTCCTATCTCACCAGAGTCCGTCCCTGCTTTCAGAGACTGCCGACGAAGAGGTGCACCCGTTGAAGCCGAACGTGATGACGGTGAACTGTACGGTCGCGTTTATGGCTCAATGCAACTCCTGGAACAAGTGTCGTGCGTCTTGCCAAAGCATGGGCGCCACCAGTTATAGATGGTTTCACGACGGTTGCTGTGAATGCATAGGGGACACCTGTATCAATTATGGGATCAACGAGTCCAGATGCGTACACTGCCCGCTGGACAAAGAAGAAGACGATTTGAAGGACCAGTACGACGATTATGGTCAGGACGAAGACGATCTGGTAGACGACGAGATCGACTAACGACGCGCCTGATTCCCCTTCGAAATACTGTGGTTGTGTCGACGGTGCGTGCATATTCCCGGTGACAATTAGTCCTTTCGGAACTAAGCAAAATCGAGCAAAAGCAAACGAAACAATGATCGGACTCGTGTTAAATGTGTATGTAAGTAATCCTGTAGCGTCGAATATTTTATTATTTTTCAGTGCCATACGAATAAAGCTGTACACGTATCGTATCGAATCGTTTTTAATGGATTTTATCGTTCAGATGGTAAACGTAATCCGTGTTCCGCTAACGCCTATTCGGCTTGGAACGATGAAGGATATACTTTAGCAATATTAAAAGGATCGTAGAGACGTGTGATTTAAAAGATCATGGACGATGCGCACTCCTGTTTTAGGTGTATATACGAATAATCAGGTCGGAGGGAATGCAATTTATATTGATATCGTTTAATATTACACTTGATAATGCCAATGCACAACATTGAGACAATACGAAGGGTCGAATAGGAAATTTGACGCGTTACGAATTTCCAATTCACGTGGATAAATATAAATAAAAATTGTAATATATACGAATACTTAAAATTGCAGATTCCATTAAAGCTTTACAAAGAGATACTCGAGATCAAAATCCCATTACGGAAGTAACGATGAGCGACTCTCCCCTGAAAATTATTAACAGACTAGAGAGGGGAAACGGGATCGATATCAACTAATCGTTTACGTCTAAACTAACTTCAATAATTTTGTTTAAAAATCATTATACTTAGGTTTCATAAATAACTCCACTTTTGGTACGTTCCATCTTTCGAATGATTATGTACCGATATATCGCACGATATATAAACACTTCACATTCAACTCTACTTTGTTATATTGATCGTTAGATGACGCGTTTTACGCGTCTTCTCGACGATCGTATACATTAATTCATATACGCGCTAATATCGCGCGTCACTGTAACACGCTTATAAATATGATAATTCCAAACGATTTTAATCGTTCCCGCTGATAAAAGACGATAGCGTTCAAAAGAAAGCCTAAAATTTGCCTCCAAATACCGTATATTTATACAGGCGGGTGTTCGTCCTGCGCTTCGTTACTTTCTGGTAATTTAATGAAAGGCAAATCACTGCCGCTCCACATCGAGTACAACTGAGATCTCGCGGATTCCTGAAACGATGAATGTTGTTAATATACGTTGAATATTCGACGTTCGCTCGTAGATCGATGCTAATCTATGTAAAAAAAAAGATGATTGTTAACAATAATTATAAGTATTTTAAATTGTAACCATGCATTACCCCACCACCAGCGCTCTCGGAACCTGAACGACTATGAGCTGATATGCAAGAATCTGTCGAAGAACTGCTTTTGCGAGACGGTAATATATCTACGGTACCTAATGAAAAAAATCAAGCGTTACACGCGATTTATCCGATGTCCGCAATGTACATTCTTACCGAGTTCAACTTCTCTATGGTCGCTATGCGAAAGAATACTATCTTTGCTGTCCGCGTAACTACCATTGGCTCCGCTTTGTTCTGCACAAGGTACGATGAATAACTTATCGGCGAAACGGTGAACGAATAAGCTTTAATACATATTAAATCGTACCTGAATCTCTGTGCTCTCCACTGTGCGGACTTTGGTCACTTTCGCGACGACCCGACTGGTCGGAGTGGTCGCTCGAGTGGGAATCGTATGGCCAGCACCTCGAGGAACCCACTTTACGAGATCCTGGCCAAATCGATGAGTCGTAACTTGACTCGAAATTGCACGTTGTTAAAGTAACACCCGGTATATGCTGACTGGCGTAAGCTGTTAGTTGATTTAATGGTCTAACTCCTATATAGATATTAGAGTAGATCGATATATAAGTAATAAATAATATTTATTCCTAGAGGAAATATCGAGCGATTAACGTTTGTTCCTTTAATCGTATATACCTGGTTTGCAAGATAACAATTGAATTGCCTCCTGCAGGCCATCCTGACTAGTCATGGCAGACGTTTTCCATATCGTATCAGGCGTAGTGGATCTACTCCTGTCTTGGTGAGGAATCCTTAATCGTAACCTGACATCTTGTCGAGGCCAATCCGTAATATTTCGACAATCCCATGGCATGGACCACCTTCGCATCGTATTCTCCGATGCTTCACCAGACATTTCCGCAGCTGCTGTTTCAGACCACCTCCTCTGAACCTTTCGCAGTTAAACGATCGTAAGAAGGTACTGATGAAAATTATACGCTTAATTCGACAAAATTACCTGCAGAGGAAATAAAGGATATGGTAACGGTGATCTATGAGAGTTTTGCGTCAATTGTTGCGTCGACGACGAAGACACCGGCGGCGGTGAACTATATAATCTTTCGAAACACTGTTGAAGAGACGCAACATCGCATTCCGTGGTGCCGCTTTGCGAACAAGAACATTCTACCATTCCACCTATAGTAGTACGTTAAAAAATGATTACAGATAAAACCAAGAGAACAAGCAAAGGTATGTAGTTACTATTTCTCACCTACGCATTCGCAGCAAGCAACGCAGAACTGATATTGCAGATTTATGAAAGTTAATAAGTTATCTCTAAGTATGTCCTGAAAACAATACCATTTAATATAAAAAATATAAAACCCTCCTATAATTTGAATTGGAACTATCGTATACATGTTTATCTCCTTTGTTCTCTCGAGTTTCGTGATCTCTCAAGGCAGAAATAATATGATTCTTCACTGTGTTGCTCGCTATATAAGTGGCTCTTGTGAGTTCTTCCCAACCAACCAGGCATTGTCCCGGTAGTTTACATTGAGCCAATGTATTGTGAGCAGACAAGAGATTCTGTAGCGATTGAGCCAACTTTGTACCGGCTGTACATAGGCCATTGAGCGTCTGAATGAAATGAAATAGTTTGCTTTTTCTGCTTTTTGCTGTAAAACTTATCGCATATAAACAAACCTGTAAGTACACTAGCCAATTACCAAGACACTCGTTTACTTCTAACTGAAGTTTAGATAGTTGATTGTCATTGGACTTTGGTTCCGTTCCACCTTCTGCCATATTTACATTATTTTAGGTCTTGGATATGGTAGTAAGTTTAGTCACCTATCGATATAAGAAAGCATATACCAAAGAAAGTTGTAAAGAATAAAAAACGAAAAGAGGATGATTAAGTAACAGGAAACAAGGTAGAGCAGTAATAAACGCAGTGACGATAAAGTGTTTGAGTAATTTCTTTTATTAGGATAGAAAAAGCATCACGAATGAACGACTTACATGTTCTCTGGTCATTTGGTGTATCCTTGGTAATAAATTGACGTAAAAAATAGGAATCACAGACTTCGCGTTGACGACAAAGCACGGATACCGGCACCATCGTAATCCGGCTTGTGCATACTTTATCACGAATGTAAAAACCGAAATGAATCCCGTATACGCGGCTACGCTCATCTGTGGTTATATCTTTCAACAGGACATTTAGTACGAAATGTCTCGACCAGATGCCGCCATTTGTACCCGTCCGCCCGGCCTGTACGAAGAGGCGCGCAAAATCTCTTGAACTCAGTGACGCGCAACCTGCACAATAACACTTCCGACAGAAACAATATTTACACACTTTAATCCTTGTTACTCTAGCGTTGTATCGGATCTTTGTGTAAAAAGGTTAATACCGAATTACAACGATTGATAATTATAGGTATGCGATTAAAACTTCTATAGACGAGGACATGAAAAGTTACGTTTTGGCGCCATATTATTTTTGGGCGCCACTGATCTAGGCTAAACTTGGCTCGAGTTAGCTCGATCGGACAGGATCGCGTCGGTATGCCTTCTACGAAATTCAAATCTATGTATATCGACGACGATAACATCATCGATAAACGCTAGTAACGAGCGAATATTGGAAATTGTAAACTAATTGTTTAGTAAGTAAACTACGATTGGCATACATCGATAAAAGAATCTAATTCGACTTTTTCGCACGCAAGGTATCGCGTATAAAAATGTTAAGAAAAATGTGATATTCTATTTGCGTTTATCCATTAGAGTCAGCTCCAATAGATCCAAATTGTACCGAGTATTCCGGCATACTCTGTTTGATGTTAACGAATACTCCCAATTACCAAAATCCCTCGAAGAGCGGGGGGAGGTGGGGGCTATCGTCTCGTTTTGAAAACCACTGGTGTAAACTGTTAAACTTGATTGCTCATCTTCCCGCTGTTTCGACGAATCGCTCTGTCGTTCGTTTCTTTGTGAAATCGAAACGAAGACACCAGACTCGTCGAGGTGAAAGGGGCCCGGAGCGAGTCGTGACGTAGAAGAGCGTTGATAAAAAAAAAAAGGAAAAGGACAGAAGGAGTCGGTGGAGGAAAGGAGGGCGAACAACGGAGAAGGAGGGTCGAGAAAGGTTGAAAGGAGAGAAAATCCAAGAACGAGTGGAAACGCGATCGCGCGCGAGGGACGTCGTGACTCAGGTGGGGAGCATGATGTGGTAAGAGATAGAAGGGAGGGGCTTAACGGTAAAGTCTGTGTAACCTTATAGCAGTGTTTTCAACCTTTTCTTTCCTGGTACCACCCCTTACGTACGGATATCCTTTTGCGGAGTTCCCGTGCGCGTTCCCGGGGGTGTTTTTCAAACAGCTGCAAGCGATACAGGAGGATCCGATCAAAATACGTATCCGAACCGCGTCGTCCCGTATCTACAGGTTCTTTTGCGATTTAATCGTTTCCTTGCTCTTAAAGAAAGTACTCGTCATGGTCAAATTAACGCTTCTCGTCTAGGATTTATAACGTCCTTGCGATTACATCATAATTCCGTTCGCGCTCCGTTTCATTTTAATTGAAACGCTGCTCGGATCGCGTGAACCTTGTATGAAATTTTCTCCGACTAGAATACATTCCATTATCCTTCGTCGGGTAAATCTTGATTATTTATACAAATTTCTAGTACAATTAAGAGATAAGCGACAGGAGTGAATGGAACGAGAAGAGGGGAATGGAAAAGAAACAGTCCATCAGGATTCGGATTACGCAGCAAAATATGCATAATCCATGAATCTGTCGAAGTTAAGCAGGACGATGGTTTAGTCAGCGACGCTAATGAGGAGGAAAATGCGCTTTCGACATGCCACTTTTTAGATCGTGCAACCCGGTGAGAACGGAGAGTGGCCAGGATGGGGCCAGGTGTGCAAAACACTCGAAGAATGGGAATCACTGATTCGCGGTATACAATTTGACGAGGTAGAGAACGATTTCGCCGTCACTGACCACGGCAGCTGGTTTTTCGAAAGGTACGAAAACGAGCGGAAGTAGCCAGGTGACGTAGGGCTCCGCAACTTGGTTAATTATACAAACAGGCTGCACGAGCCACGAACCTGGTATCATCTTCCATATTACCGAGTCGTTTTTGCGCGCGCCAGTTATGCACGAGGAAACGATTAGCCTTCGCCAAATCAATCGATCCACCTACGGAACCTTATTCCGCTAATGCACAACTTGTATGTATAAACATGTCCGAGTAAAAGTTCCCGTAACTGGTTGATCGTATGCTTAGCTGTTTTACCTTGGAAGCGTTACGGATATGCGTACGGTACAAACAAGTACACTGTGCGGCAAAAATGCTTCGCGTTCGCCGACAGGTAAGCAATCTTCTCGATCTCGGAGCGCGACATTGGTCAACGGAGTCGGAGTTGACCGACGCAGGTTTCGGTCTACGAGTAACGCCGTTGGCTACCGAGCAGCTTACTCGTAAGAAGAGACGATACTTTATCGATGATTATTGGAGTTATTTAAAAATCGACCTTCGACCTTAGAGACAAGGCCCCTGGTACCCGCATACTTTGCTATAGAGCGGCATCTCGCCGAATTTCCGATATATTCTCTCGATTCGCGTTTGTTGGTAAACGCGAGTTTGTTGCCGGTTGTAATTCGAAAACGCCAGGAGGAACGTAGTCGAGCGTAGATTCCCCCATAGCAGCCGGCTGGATGCACGGTACACCGTACTTTCATAATGTCGAAGGAGTACAGGAGACCCCGAGGCCTGTGGCACTCGACGGACGGCTAGTGAAGGGAACGGATCGTCATACTCGGTCGATACTCGACCAAACGGTCAGCGAAAATGCCGCGTCCGTGAGTCGCGCTTAACGGTCTTCGATAACAAACGAGCCAAGTTTTCCGCGAATCGATTCAAGTTGCAGTGATTTTCGACTAGTTTCGGCGACTAGAAGGACTAACGGAGAAGAAAGGATTTCCAGACCTAATCCAAAGACTGAGAATCATGAAGGAGTGGAAAGGATGCTGCGATCGAACATGAAATACCGCGAATAATTTCGCGTAGTGCGCGAAACAATGAAAGGAGGATCGTTCGTTATTTCGATCGCATACGGTGACCAAAAACGTGGTTAGTGAACGGCGAGGACTCTTCTCGGCCATTCCTGAATCGAGTCTTGGCGCAAATTCGATCGCCATACGTTAACACGAGAACCTCTCGGTGCGAATATTTCGTATCGAATTCGTGGAACGAGTACATTCGCGTTGCCGAGGTGGGTTTTCGTCGGTGCCGTGCGTCGAACAAAGAAACATTTCGTGAAAGTTTCCGTGGTGCGCGATAAAGAGTGTTCTCCGGTGGCGGGTACGTGCTCGTGGATGATCGTCGGCAGAATTAGTGCGTTTTCAATGTGATCCCGCCTCTCTTCGAGGGAAGAGAACGACATATCGAGAATGACGCGAGAGATTCTTCTATCCCTTCTGGGAATCCTCGTCGTGGGCGCAGAAGGCATGTATCTTTAACCACTTAACCGCCGCGCCCGAGCTAACTCGAGCAACATAGTTGTCGAATAAGCGAACGATTAAAACAAGGAAGAGCGAAGTAAAGGAAGAAATATCAGTTTTACCGCACAAGTTTTTAAATACATCTTTGCGACTGCCTTTGAATATTTAGAAAGCGAAATAAGAAAACGTTGCGGTTTTTTTTTTTTTTTTTTTTTTTTTTAAATCGAAGCGGTTAAGCCATTAATGGCGCGACGAGCGGTTGCCCAACGCGTTCGAAATCCACCTCTTTGCTCGCCATTTGTTTTTTCATTCCTACGCGTTTTTCTACGTCCTGCTCTTATGGTTAAACAATTGCGCATACCTTTTCAAATATTCGAAGGACTCATCGGTATTCTAAACGTATCGGATACGATTTTGAAAGCGTTATGAAAAAGACATCGTGAATCATTCGGATGCATAGGTTATGCCAGGTGAAACCCAAATGTCCACTTCTGTCGGTCACCGGATTGGATTATCGAGCAACGCGGAGAAATGGCTCCTGCTCTCTCCATCGAGATTTATTCGATCTTTCTAAATATACATCACGGATGGATTCAGCACGCGCGGATCCTGCGATGAAGCGTTTCCCAAGTATACTCGATCGTATCGAGGCGTCGAATCTGTTTGGAAAACGCGGCTGTGGTGCTCGAGATCCATCGAACCACGTGATCAATGGCGCGAACACAAATTAGACAAGTACGCCATTCGGACGGTATCGAATTTTGTAATCCAACGTTTGCTATTTTCCATCTGCTCTCTGATAATGTCCTCGGTACTAAGGAAAGGTATACAAGCAAAACAGGTACCGCCCACTCGGTTCTCGTCCACGCGGATTTTCTGGTGTCTCGAGGTCACCCGGTGTATCCGCTTCGAATGAAACGCACAGGTTCCTGTCGCTTTGTGTTCTGCTCGCCCGAAACCTTGCGAATTCCAGTCAATTCTTTTCGTCCTTTTTCCCAAACAAATACATTTCGCATTATTTTTGGTCCAAGGATACCTACCGACCAACAAAGCTGGCGCGGTTGACGCAGAACTTTCCTCTTTTTAGTTTGGAATCCATCAAACTTTCAGCCTCTTGATACAACGGTTAAAACCTTGGATTTGAAAATAGAACACGGCACCTACCGCGTGGGTACCTCGCTCGGACCCCTTCAAAATTGGAAAGTTGTTCGTAAACACTGTACAATCAACGAAACAAATCGGTGAAGCATTTCGAGTCGCTCCACCGACCGTATAAACCGGAAAAGGGACGAATTTGCGCTCACCGTTTCGTTCTGTCCGCTCCAATTTCGCGTATCTTTCGACCGAGTTTTCATTTCGCCTAGTTCCTATTTGAATAAAACTGGTTACGCGACGTAGAAAACAGGACTTGCCGGCGAGGCTGTCGATCGAAGCAAGTTTCGCCTTTTGTAATTCTTATTCTTCTAGTTGACCTACAATCTACACGAAACGCCTCGATACGTAGCGCAAGCACCGCATTTCTGCGCGTGCTTATTAACGGATGTCTAAGTGTAAAATTATCTTGCTCGGCAATTGTATAAAAACCATCTACAGGTATACCATTAACTTCGCACGAGACACGTGATCGCGCAACAGTACCTTTCTCGAACGACGCTGATTATTTTTTATTGGCCTGGGTGTTTTACAACGTCACGTGTCCGAGACACTTTCGATTCGGCATTGCATTCGAATTAATCGAACGCGACGATTCGATAAAAATTTACCAAACGCAGCATGGCATGGTCGATTTGCGTCATCGACATAGCAGACCTTTCCTCGTCGAGTAACGCTCGCTGGAACTTTCATCGGTGGCGTGCAAAAACGCGTAGGAGGGACGTGTCTTTGGTGTAAAAATAATTACGAACGGAGAATGATACCTTTGTCGATAACGATTACTTAACCGTTGCATCTGGCGTATCTTTCAGGTACTTTCTCTAATAATTATTTAACGTGGCGCGTTCTGTGCTAATACTGGATCGCTTCCTTCTCTTTACGTGAAATTTTAAAAGTCTAGAAATATTCGACAGTTTTAATGGAGTTAGAAGGCCTCTACCGTTACACGAACAAGTTTATCATCTCGAAAATTCTCGGGATTCGTTGACACAGCCGATGAACTCGAGATTCCTCAAATTTTTAGAAACACCAAATTACTCGTAATACTCCAAGCTATTCGTTCGCCGTGTGCCTCGAGTTCTACTACGAAACTTGAATGACACAAGATCCAAGAACTGTTCCGAGCAGTCGTTTCCACGGTTGCCGAGTAAACAGAATGGTCTGCAGTGGCGTATTTACCCTATACAAGCAAAGAAAAAGGAGCTCTAAACTGAATGCTTCGAATACTTTTTGCTGTTTGTGTTCGATGTACAAAAAGCGAGGTTGTTTACTCGAACTTGTGCTACTTCTTCCGAGGCTTCCAAATTCCACTTTGTCTCGGGTCTGTCGCGAAACTGTAGCGTTGCGCCATTTGCCTGCGGAACGATCGATGGAAGTAATTGTAAATACAAGTGGGAGAGTCCAGTTCGCACGCCTCTGACCGATCCGATTCCAGGGACTCGTAGACTGTTTGATAGATTGCTGGAGATAGCGCGATAGGGTGATAGGTCGACCGGCAACTAGACCAGTCGATGGTTAGCGCAATGCGTTGAGACCTGCGCAAAGGTACACCGCACACGATTAATATTATCGTAAAAATAATACCGATCGCGCGTGGGTACCTTCAAGGTGGAGAAGTAAAAGAGTCCTCGAGATTCTAGGTGAACGCTTTTCTTTCGTTCCTGTGAAAGAGGAAGCGTGTCTAACGTTCCACAGACTCGAGCACGATTCGCGTTTCCATCGAGCCACGCTGGGACGATCGTAACATTTAACCGGCCTCCTGGCTACCTCTGGCTAGACTCGCAAGCACGCGAAACTGCCGATAACTTATGCTCGAGAAAACGCACCTCACGTGGGTGGGGCACAGGGGCCCTCCACGCCCCACACAGGTGAAATTTCGTCCGAGATCGCGCCACTTCTTCCGAGAATCGCTATGCACGACCGATCGCGCGTATTTTGGTCATAGACGATCGCGCGGGGACGCAATTCGACGCTACCGCCGATTACACAATCGCCGATCAACGTTGCCACAACGCGCTCTCCATAGTTTCACGGGTCACGTGTCATGGAATACAAAATAAAAAAATAAATCCACCAGCGAATCTTCCAACGCTTAGCACGTTATGAAATTTTGAACTATCCTGTATCCGCGAGCAAGAGTTCGAGGGGCAATTACACGAAAGTACACCTTTCACGGTAAGTTTTTCATTCCCGACGCTAGGCAAGGTGTCGCAAGTCATCGTCGATCCCGACGACACACGTACCGCGTGATCTCCTACTCGCGACGCGTCGTACAATAGATTAGGAAACTCGCGAAAGGAACTCTCTACCGTTTCCCGGTACCGATACAACGAACCGATTCTTCCCTTCGATAACGCCGGTCGATTTGAAATTTGGTGGACTAAGTGGCACGAATTCCGACGATGCCAGCGCGCCTTCTGTCGCTTCACGTTCGATTCCGCTTCGTAGAACCGAATGACGACCGTTAACCGGTTCCTCGACGCCCCACCGGTGTCCTGTACTCGCGAGACGGTAGTAAAATTCGCTCTCGGTATGGCCCGTTTACGTAAACGCGATAATACGTAATATCCGTCGTTACGATCTCATCTCGTCGCCTTTCTTTCCAATCACGTCGGAACTCGAGACACGGGAACACCAAGGGAAAAATGCGTTATCGATTCCCTCGTATCTTGAAAGTTAACTCTTTGAACCAGGGAACCCGAGGTCTAGTATTTTACCAATTATGTTTCTTCGTCAACGACTGTTCTACTCCTAAACGCGCTCTACCAAACGTTGATCTCCTTCGGTCGTTAGCATCGATAGACGGACAGACAGGCGTTGGAACTTTGGGGAAAAAATGGGAATCGAATCTGTCTTTCGAATCGCGTGGCTGTATCCTTGACGATCGATCTATCTCTCTTTTTTTTTTGCGAGATAGATCAGCAGCAGGGCACGCCCACTTTCCAACTTCCTGACAATCGCTTTGGTACGTGCAATATTACACCGGCACGTTCGAACGTTGCAGAACAAGAACGTGTGTTCGTGATCCCCGTGCGATCGCATACACACCGACACAATTATTGCAAAAGATTCGCGTGGAACGAACCATTCTATTTTCGATGCTCCTTCTAATGTTACGGGTCAGCCGAACGAAAGTATACCGATGCTTCCATGCATCGAGACAGAACACCACCTCTGTGCAACAAACACGCTACGTTTGTTCTTCCCTGTAATCGATTATCGAACTTTCGGAACGATACAGCGGAAAGTTCTGTTTGTAAAATTAATTTTCACGGTACCAACCGTAGCGAATAAACGCATACCTGTAAGCGGAATGAAAGACAATTCTATATACCTAGAGAGAGAGTTGCCGTAACAGAATGTTGTGTAGCATATAAGAAAGGTAAAACGTTTTTAAGTAGACGTGCACTCGTGAGAAAGCTAAAGTAATTGTACTTGTACGCCACCTCAAGTGGCCGCTATTTAAAAGGTACTGCAATTATTCGCAAAAGGAGGAGGAAAGGCGTCCCTTGGTTGGCGGGATCGCGCGCGTGCCGTTTGTCGAACGATTCGAACGTCGATAAAGGAAAATGGCGATAAACCAAGAACTGTACCGTGACACGCTTCACCGGTAGTAGTCCCGACCCGAAGTAGCACCATGTCGTACCGTTATTTCGGCTTTAAAGTTTTGTAACCGCGTGACCCAGACCCACGAAGCGATCGGCGAATGCCAAAGACTCGAGGCTAAAGCTAGCAACGTGTGTACTTAGCCGTGAGCATAGAACACGGACGATTAACTATGGAATTCTCGACCTTTTCGTCTCCTCGAACTTTGGATCCACGGAGGTCGCTCTCTTTCACCTGATCCGTCGATCGGGGTCGTTGCACGCGAATGCGGACACATTTTCGGCGTTTTGGATTTTCCTGAAACTTGGACGCGTAAGACTTTGATAACTTGTTCTATTTCACCCATTTATCTTTCCTCTCGCTCATTAAGTTCCGTACTTTCAGTAGAGCGAAAAAGTATACCATCGAGTCGATAGTTTAGCGACCATCGATCTCAACGATAACTTTCTCGCGAGCAATTAAACAAGTGTATTTGAAAGCACGGTGAAACGACATTAATTACACGGAAAATGAGCTGCGGAAGAGGCGCTTGAACGCGCTCTAAAGAGTGACGGTTTCGAATCGAAACAATTTACGCGCAACAAACAACGCGCGAACGCGTCTGTACTCGCTTTAATTAACTCGTTCGCACGAAACGGTAGCTTCGCGTCCCACGAGAAACGAGGTCTTCCCGAGAGTTCGTATCGTCTACAGAGACAACGGAGGCTTTCACCCCGTGACTCGATGCGCGCCGATTCTTCTTCCGAATATTAAATTCTCCGCGGAGTTCAAAATTCAGATATTTTAATTATCCGAGCTCTTCAGGCCAGCGCGTTCGAAAGAATCAACGACGCGCAACGGCGAACAGAATGCAAATTAGGCTCGTTAAGACCGTCGACTCGAAAATCAAAGGCCATCTACGCGCGATTGGCCTTCAAACGTTCAAACAGCACCGGAAACGTTATTCCGCGAGTTGCGCGCGACTGCGCTCCTCTAATCGCTTCTACGATCCTATCGCGAGTTGCTGAGATTCTCGACGAGTTGCGCGAGGTTCACCCTATCGTCGTAGCCTATTTCCATCCCGACGAACGTGTTTGATGATTCTTCTAGTGAAAATCTGATAGTTCTTAGAGTAAACGGACACCTCGACGGAACAGAAAAACTGCGCAGGCCTGCGATATCTCTCGATAAATGGAAGAGAAACAAGCGAATAGATACTCTTTGGGATCGCAAAGAGACCCGACCGTTTCCACGCTCTCCCAGGAATGGTCTACGGCAAATTACGCGTACACGAGCACGCGTACCCTCGTCGATTTCCATCGCCTTTTCACTCGGAGAAAAAGTTTCTCAGGCTGCATACGGTTCGATACCCGTTCCGCGCGCTCAGAACCATCCATAACTTTATGCCTTTGTGGCTATCCTATGCTCGACCTACTAATTTCGATCCTTTCGCGGACGATAGAAAATCCGTCATTGTACAACTAATTTCCCGAGCCGTCAGATTTCGAATAATGGATAAACGCGTGGGATTTTGTCCAAGGTTTCTCTATGTTAGGTGTCGCGGCTATTGTTTTCATTTACTTTTATACCGATCTATGAACGAAAGCCTGGCAAACTCGAGTGTTTATACGGAAAGGTCGTCACGCCCTTGACATCTCTTTTACAGTTAACGACTGCTACGGGTTTACGCAACGAAAACTGCGATGAAACAAATGGGGATAGAAACGCAGCGTTATCCTTAGGATTTCTGGGCTCTGACCTGATTCGACGGACTTTTACGATCGTTTATAGTTTATTTTCATATGTTTATTCGCTCCTCTCGGACATTCCTCTGTCCATTTCGTCACGTAAAACGTTTAAATTGTAGGTATTCTGTCTTGTCACTCGAATTTAGGTAATTTCTCGTATCTTGCTACACGCTTAATTGCCGACACGGTAACTATTCCTGCAGAACACGTCACAGACCCCCTGTAAAAATTCTTCGTCGACAAAATACTCGACCCAAAGTTGTTTCTTTTGTCTTGCGAAATGGATGAAATCTACAATGGCACCACAGAAATTGAAACTTTAGTTTTAATGGTTTGTAACGGTAAAATCTTCAGCGGACGTACAATATGCCATTAAAATACCGCAACACCGAACGATCCACCGGTTAATGAATCTATTCTTTTCCGAAGCGTCACGACTGAGCAACGTAATTTTCTTAAATACAGGATTGAAGTGCGGTCATCCGGCGGTACCAATGAACGCCAAGGTATCGTTGTCCGACGAATCCTTAGAGACAGGCGCTTTAGCGAGATACACGTGCGACGCTGGATACGAGTTATTCGGGTAAGTGCAATTGTCGCTTTGCAAACGATCGTTTCAAAGAACCACAAACGATGCTCAACATGGCACGCAAAGTACTCCTATAACGTTGTCGTTGCTCCTTGCGCTACATTTCTATGCAAACATGAAATCTACGTACAGGTGAAGTACGTATCGTATGCAATAAATTTCTACCACGCGATGCATCCGATCGTTCTCGTCGTTCGAATACTAGTTGGGTTTGAGCGTGCACGATACGGCACATCTGTTATCTTAACCCCACGAATAAATTCTACGCGGCTCTATTCCATCTGCGAGAAAAATGACTGATACGCGTTTAAAAGAAAGACGAGCACGAACGAATTAATCATTTTTCGACAGGATCGCTAGAACGCGTGTGCGTTTCTTTTTTTTTTCGGGACACGTACGAGCACGCGAGAGTCGCAACCGAGCGAAACGACCGTTTGTGTAACGCGATAGTGGTCGATAGCACCGGTTATTACGTACTTTCTCCGTTTTCTTGTAATTCGTATGATTGACGATATTTGTTCGCGTGTCCACGTTTCGTTCCTTCGTCGTGCATCGTTTACAGCGAACCAAAGAATTTCGATTATTTTATCCGGCAATTGCTTGTTTAGCAGCGGCAGCCTGACGTGCAACGCTCGAGGGAAATGGCAGGGAGATCTACCATTCTGCGGTAAGCATTCCACCGTCAACTAAAATCAACCGTTCGTTTGGAATCTTTCCCTTCGCATTGTAATTCCTCCGTCGCGCTGGCGCATTCGATCGCTCGTCTTCCTTGACAACGAGATCGTTCACGGCTTTCTCCTCGATGCTCGTCGAAACTCGCGAAATCGTTGCATTCCGCGAACGAAGAAATGCAAGCCTACCGACTGTAACCTAACTACCCCAAAAGTCGGGATAACGTTTGAGCATTTTTTACGCGAAAACTATCCAACGTGAAAAGTTTGAATACGCGTGTACGTATTATTATTCACAAAGAAATAAATCTTTTGACCCGAAAGTGCCAGACAGCCGCGTTGAAATGCAACAGCTCTTCTCGTGTGCGTTCGGTAGAAAGCGATTTTGCGTATGCCGTGAGCCTCGCAGAAATACGTCGACCTCTGCTCTCGATATCGGCCTCGATTTTCATTATCATTCGTCGCGACGTTTCACGTTTACCCACACTGAATTTTCGGAAAGGACGCTTTGAACGCGCGTGTCTCGAACGTTGCGCAATCCCTTGGATTCCGGTCGGTGTCAGTCGTCTCACGGCTAGCGGAAATCATTTTGAACGGGCCCGTTGACGAGAATGCGGAAAAATGGAGAAACCGGAAGACTCCGAAACGCCAAGTATGCACGACACGGTGAAACCGGCTGCGACGTCGGATAATCGTTTCTCTTCGTTACTAAACGCGTCCTGTCCGTAATGGACGTTTTGTTACTCGGTCGCGGTCGGTATATCGCCTTCCTTCGGCGATGTTCGGTTCCAGCCAATTTCATTTGCAACGGTCCAATTGACAGCAGGAATTCGTGTCGCAAGGATCTTGTCGGGCTGTTACCAGAAGAAATTCCAGAAGGAATTTTATAAACGTATTCCTGCAGGTACGAACGTTGCGTTTCGCAAACCAACGAATCAATCGACGACCGTGCGAGGCGGTGATGCCAGCCACGGGAACGATGGCGACTCGAGCACCGAGCACGACGGGAAAAGGTGCACGGAGACGCAAAGCGAACCCAGCCCCTGGTGGAGGGTCGACCTTCTCAAATCGTACTCCGTAAAGGTCGTCCGAGTAACGACCAGAGGTTGCTGTGGTAATTATTTCTCTCAACTTTTCCTAATTTCACCGACACACGGAAAGTCGAAATTGCTAAAGTTGCCTCGTTCTCAGGCCACCAACCCCTGCAGGATATCGAGATACGCGTGGGTAACAGTAGCGTCGAACTGCAACGAAACCCTTTGTGCGCATGGTTCCCCGGCACGATAGGTAAGATATCAGTTTGGAGAGTCATCGACTTCCTTCGAAACTATTATCGATCGATTGGTTGCAGAGGAGGGAATCACGAAGACGTTCGTGTGCGCGAGATCTCTGGTAGGACAGTACGTGTTTCTGCAGCTGGTGGGTGTCGAGGGTAGCTTGAGCCTTTGCGAGGTGGAGGTGTTCGCCGTTGACGGTAAGTCGAGAGTTCAAGAGCGCGAAGCGATCGGTGGCAGCCTGTTAAATAAAATTCCTGTAGAATAGTTCTACCCGACTTTTCGCAGAGTTCTCGACGGACAGGTGCGCCTATTCCGGGACGCCGGCTGACGCCGACTTAGCCGCCTTTAATTCCACCTGTTACGAGTTCGTAGTGAAGAAGGGTGGTTCGTTTCAAGAAGCCAGAAACTACTGTCGCGCCAGAGGAGGCGACCTCGTCCATGGCTTCAAGGTCTCCCTACCAAAAAGTCTTTCTTCCTCGTTCGTCAAATACCGATGAAAAGTTGTAACCGTAGTCGTTTCGATTTCTCAACCGCAGGGCGTGTCAGCGGTGTACATACTGAACAATCTCGAGAGGCGAAAGGATAAGCTGAAGACTCAGCTCGTTTGGATAGGCGCGCAGAAGGAGCCTCTTATCACGGCGCGAACGTGGCGATGGGTCGACGGTGAGTAATTACCTTGTTAGAGGTTAACGACGTTTTCATGTTTTTTCGTCGTCGTTGTTCTCCGTTATCCATCGACGCCAGTCAACGGACCTTTTTCCCTTCGCACGATCCATCGACAGCGTTCATGAGAACCAGGTCGGGAAGCGATAGTTGGGTAACGTTGATTAGGATTCGTCGACCCGAGACAATCAATTTGTCCGGCAATTACGACGTAATTATAGATCCGTCTGCCGTTTGAAGTCGTTTAGTCCGAATCGTTTGGAAATTCCACCCCCCCCCCGACCGGCAGTCACGGCCTGCGAAATCGAAGATCGACTCGACGCGCGGCCGACTGTCGGCGCAATCGCACGCGCTAATAAATAGAACGTGAAAGTTGCCACTGTGTGGAAATCAACGGGAAGTTACACCCGTGAGCGTCTGCTCGAACCTATAATCTCTGGTAATTGTTTGTTGCGTTTGGATCGAACGGATGCATCCCAATGAATTCGGTGCAATTAATGCTCGATATAGCCGTCGAGCGTCGTGAAATTAAACTCAACGAGACACGAAACGTTATTTCTTGGATTATTTTAGGCGAGATCGTGCAGAAACCTTCCTGGGGAAAGGATCAACCGAACAACTATAACGGCGAACAAAATTGCGTGGTGCTGGACGGTGGCCGTAGCTGGCTCTGGAACGACGTCGGCTGTAACCTCGACTACTTGCACTGGATTTGTCAAAGCAGTGAGTGTCCACTGGTATATAAATAAATACATGACCCAGCGCGATAACCGCGAGGAAATATTCCGTTTCAGGGCCGCCTACTTGCGGTAGCCCGGAGAAGTCTGAGAATACAACGATAGTAGGCACGAAGAGGACCATTGGCTCCACGATAGATTACGTTTGTCCGGACGGATACATGCTGGTCGGTTCCAAGTCCAGAACCTGCGAGCCCAGCGGCTTTTGGAACGGAGCGTCGCCCACGTGCAAATGTAAGCTTATTCTCCAAGATGGCCTATTTTTCGACACGTCAAAGCGAGTAAAACTCTCGAGTCGCGCAACGTAAATCTGCCGAGAGTTAATCGCGCGGCCCGATACGCGAGCTGCATAATTGTCGGGATAACGAAGATGGAGCTGGTTATATGCAATCGTCTCGCGTACGATTAACTTGGCTTGTAAATGTTCTCAGTCGTCGACTGTGGCCCCCTGCCGGAGCTGGTGAACGGAGCAATCACGCTGGTCGATAAAAGAACGACTCACGGAGCGCTCGCGGATTATGCTTGCAAAGAAAATTACACGCTGCTCGGCGACGCCAGACGGAGATGCGGAGACGGCGGAATTTGGAGTGGACACAAACCTCAATGTCTATGTATGGGATAACTAAAACGGGGTATTTAGCTAATATGGGGTAGCTAAAAATCCTTTATCGTTTTCTATTTTTCAGTCGACTGGTGTCCGGAACCACCACAGGTAAACGGCGGAGTCGTGGCGATTACCGGAAGAAGAGCTGGCTCGACCGCCACTTACTCGTGTCAGAACGGCTTCATTTTATTCGGAGACAACGTAAGCGGCTTTGTTTCAACTATTCGGTGTCCTGTCTTCGTCATTCTATACAGGGCGCTAGTCTATTTTCTCCTACTCGTTATGCGCGAGACGTGATACCGTTTCGAGCGCAAATTCTATTACGTCTCTATCATTTGCTCCAATTACGTTTCCTCTTGTTATCGATTTCAGTCTTGCTTGCATAACTGAAAATCGATACAAGATAAGAATACGCTAAAATTTTCGCAACCCGTTTCTTTGCACGGTCACGAACGGAATGTTAAACAACGTTAACGCGCTTAATCGATTTCGAAAGGTCCTCACGTGCGACGTCGGCGGGGAATGGTCCGGTAAAGCTCCCCAATGTAAATTCGTCGACTGCGGGGCACCGGCTCAAATCGAATTTGGCTCTGTGTCTTTAATTAACGGCACCACCACGGTTAAAAGTCTGGCGGTGTACACGTGCCTGGAGGATTACTGGCTGGTCGGCGAAGCGAAGCAGGAGTGCACCAAAGAAGGGAAATGGAGCCACGATACGCCGTCCTGCGAGTGTAAGCAACGTTCAAACTTGGAATCTACATCGATGCAAACGACCGCGATGAAATATGTAAATGTGTCGACAAATTCCTGAATTAATTTTTCGATGCAGTGATCACCTGCGAGGAGCCCGAAGTACCGGCAGGAAGTTACGTGGTCGGATACGATTTGAACGTACACAGTGCCATCGAATATCACTGCGAGGCAGGATATCTGCTTCAAGGCGAAGCCAGACACACTTGCGGCAAAGACGGTGAATGGTCAGGGGAAGTGCCCAGCTGCGACTGTAAGTTCCATCATTGTAGAACGATCCTATGCGGATTTACTTTTGCATATTCGCGGATACTATTTGCGTTGTCAATTTTTCTCCGAGCCTACAGCGATGGTATACCTTCTGAATAATTAAATATATCCTGCTACGCGAACGATGTTGTTTTTTCCATCTTGCAGACGTCGACTGCGGGAAGGTTCTGCCCGTTTTGAACGGAGCCGTAGAATACGCAAACGGAACCACTCATCTCGGAAGCGAGATCACCTATGGTTGCACGAGAAACTATAGACTGAACGGAGTGTCGAGGAGATACTGCTTGGACAATGGTCAATGGAGCGACGCGACTCCAAAGTGCGAAGGTACAAAATAAGTCCTACAGAAGGAAACTATTTTATAAGAGTCGAAGAGGCAATATTGTTATTCGCGATGCTTTCATGGCAGAGATTCGATGCCCCGAGCCCGTATACGCGGATCACGGAATCCTCTCGGTGACCGGAAACGATAGAATGTACGGCAGAACGCTGATCCGCACCGGAACTCCGGAGAATTCTAACACAGGCGCCACATCGTACAAAATCGGTGCCCTTGCGAAATATCGATGCGAGAGAGGGTACAAGGTGATCGGGGAACCTCTATCCACGTGCGAGGACAATGGAAAATGGAGCGGAGAGGTTCCACGATGCGTTTGTAAGAATCTTACAGAATTATTGAAAGCAGTGTTGAACGTTCGCGCAATTCAACGAGTGATTTTTCAGACGTCGATTGCGGCAAGCCAGAGCACATCCAACACGGTAGATACACTCTGGCCTCGAACGCGACTTACTACGGAGCAGCTGCTCTTTACGAATGCGACGGTAACTTCGAACTGGACGGATTCGCGAGAAGACTGTGTCTGGAGAACGGCACCTGGAGCAGCGATACTCCCGTCTGCAAAGGTAACCGTCTCGATGTTTAGACAAATTCTGCGATGTTTCTATGTATCGTTTGCGTACGCAGAAATCAGGTGCAAGGATCCCGAGAAAGAAGGAGTACTGTCCACGCAAGTATCGACGCACAGCGTCGGCGGAGTGGCTCACTACAGTTGTCCCCGTGGATTCTACATGGAAGGGAACGAAACTAGGATATGCCTGCAGAACGGATCCTGGAGCGGAAGCGTGCCCGCCTGTTTCTGTAAGCGCGTCAATTCATTTGAAATGACCTCGATACAAAGTAGAATAAAATGTGAATCTCATTCACAGCCGTCGAATGCAAACATCCGGGACCCATAGAAAATGGAAGAGTAATCGTGGTGAACGCGACAACAACCTACGGCGGAACCGCTGAGTATCATTGCTTACCGCAGTTCGAGAGAGTCGGTCCGTTTCTAAGAAAGTGTTTGGATACTGGTTCCTGGAGCGGCGAGGAACCCAAGTGCGAGTGTAAGCGATATTAGTAGCAAAAATACATCCTCGAACATACGTTTCTCCAACCGATTCCGTTACCGTTTCTCGACAGATATGCCTAACGAAGTGGCCGAAGCTCAAGGTGTGGGTACCAGCGTTGGTATCGCGGCTGGAGTGATCATATTTATATTAATTATTCTTGGACTCGTTTACCTAAGACTGTACGTAGCGACGTTATCAAAAATTAACATTTAAACGGTGATAGTATGAAGCTTCTCTCGATAAAAAAAAAAAACGGTTCTTCCAGGAGAAAAGCTACCCCGGTAAAGAATACGGAAAACGTGCAAGCAGCCGAAAGAAAGGAGGACCAAAACGCAGCTGTGATGTCATACGCCACGCTTAACGATGGGACACCCAACGCTATGTACGAAAATGTTCCAGAAGACGGCCTTTACGACAGTCCGTACAGCATAAGCGGCAGTACTTACGGGTAAGCGACATAGAATTTTCTTTCTCTCTGTCTCGATCAACAGACGAATTTTACTAACCGAGTTTTCTAATTAAAGGTACGGCAACAACGTGAGAAGACATTACGGTAGATCGGGACACTACGAGGCGGAACCAGTTGCGAATAGAAACGGCATCACCATTAACGGGGTGTCTGTACGATAGTTTGAAATCGAGTCTCCTAAAATCAGGTATTATTTATGTACAGGATAGGACAGTAAGAAGATACCGATCAATGGCGTAACCAGTACAAAAGACAAAATCATGATAAAACTTGTAACCAGAATAACCAGAAATTAACTGATATTACGTTTATTTTTGAACGCTAGAAAGTCAAGGACAACCGAACCGAGGACTCTTAGTTACGCCACTGATACCGATACATGAAACATTGTTGTCTTTATTTATGTTATTATGTTCGGCGCATCGCCGATTTATGTAAATAAGTAAAGAGGAGAAACGCGACAATTAAATGCCCGCGAAGAATTCGCGTCTGTGTTTTATACGATTTTTCAACGACAAACGCGTGTTACATTGAGGATGGTTAACGACTCTAATATTATGTACTCCGTTTTGTACGCATACGAAATTATTCGACGATTCGATCGATGTATTATTATGTATATAGAGTTTTTCCATAATTTAGAAGTACTATTTGTAAATGTCAAGTGACGCACTTGTACTATAAATTCGTACGTTCGTTGGTTGGCAAATAAAGAAACCAATGGTCTTGTTTTATTTTATATTATGCTGCATTCTTCGTATGAAATCCGCTTCCTTTATCTAATCGATGAATAATTATGATCTCATACCTATCCTGACGTTGAAAAACTCACGTGAAAATATTAGTAGGGTTTGACGAATAAAATAACGTCTACGAGAACCATGCATCCTTCGGCTCTTGAAAGTTAATAAAAACTGATATCTCGCTACAATTGTACCTACGGAGTGTATCTACCTTGAATGCGATTACGACACAAGCAACAACTATATCGGGCACGCTCACAACCTTATAAGGAGATGATTTCGCTGTCAGTAACTTACTCCAACTACGGTACCTACAGTGACGTGTCATTTCGAGGGTAAACCGGGTCTGTGTCATATAAATCAACGAAATTTGTACAAGTATCGTTAAATAAGACCTTAACTATTACGAACCATTTAAATATAATTTATACGTGTATAGGTAGACGTGCACTTGGATAAAATTAAAGTAAAATTTGAATGCAATTGTCATTAGCAACAAAAGCTACACGACTAAACCAAATGTTAAACGTATGCAGAATATGTAACCTTGTACAAAACGAAATATCAAAACTATTCTGTTCATTTACAAAATATAATTTGTACACGTTTAGCGTATCTTTTCGCCACAAATCGAGGTGTTGTTCTTCGTAGCAGTGCGCCCTAATCTTTTGGGCATGACTAGAAAAGGCTCGTGCAATGGATAGTCCAGAAGTTCTCAATCTTTCCATATACCGGTATCTTTCGAACAATTCAGTTTGTATTGTCAATCACTGTCCAAAATGATACCAGAATAAGATGAACATGAGAATTTACGCCACGTAACAGACCTATATCGTAATTCTAAATATATTCTATCGATAAGCATATGATTGTTCGTTGACTCTAAAGAATGTTTAGAATTTCGTCGAACTGGTACGTGATGGACTTCATGGGGTTAGCTGGCGATCAGGTTGAGAGCCTCTGGGACATAGAATCTTTTACCAGATGGCGCTACTTGTCCGGGTGTGGTGAATAACCATAGTGTGACGCGTAACGTGAGTCACAGTACTGCACGAGTCTCTGTTCCGTTCTGTTTTTTGTAACAGTTTATCGTAAAGAAGTTCGTATTAATCAGGTTAGTACAAATTCGTTGACTTACGCTAACCTTTCATCGTGGAAGATTCTAGTTGTTGAGTGATGTGTGCAAAGGTATCCTAAGTAACCTGAGATACCTGACAGGAGTGTCGTACTCGGTAGAGCGGCCATTATGTTTATTGTGTCCCCGATGTACATATTTTCCTCGTTATTCTCCTTACTTTCGTACGTTTAAATTGGATTTAATGTTTACATTCGACGGGATTTGCGTTGCAATGATTTTAGACGGACGCTAAGCGTTTTCTAGAAAAAGCATTGCCGGTAGTCAAATATAGCCTGCACCGATATAGCCGAGCGATAATTTTGAGACAAAGAACTGTAAAGTAAAATTAGAAAGCAAAAAGATTACTGCCAAGTAAGTGAGTATCGATTACAATACGTATCGGTTCGATACGTATAAAGAAAGTGTGTTGAAAATGTGTACCCTTTTGTGGTATTAATTACTGCGTATGTCGGAAGGTATAACACAATTCTCAACGTTTTATATAAATTTTTATCCTAGTATTAAACGGTGGGATTCGATTTAGATATCAAAAAGTAACGATCAAGCATTTTTACAAAGACAACGAACGGTTGAGTGAACGTACTCTTTGTCGAGTAACCGAGCAGACCACTTTATTTTTATCTCGATTACGGTTACGTTCCGATTTCCTGAATTAATTGTCCGGAAATAAATAGTAGCCCTGCTTAATAAATCCAAATGAACTTGTTCGACCTTCCTCTTTCCCACTTTCCTTTTTAATCTCATCCTTGGAAATAAGTGTTTCGTAGCGTCGAAGAAATCGTAAGGAATGTAAAATATTTTACGAGCACCGAAGAAATTATAATCCGATTGAAGAAAGCGAGCTGTAACTTTATTTATAATTTCAGGGATACCAACATGTCGTCTCGCAAAACAGCCGGCCGTCGGGCGACGACAAAGAAACGCGCGCAGCGCGCGACATCGAACGTTTTCGCGATGTTCGATCAAGCACAAATCGCCGAATTTAAGGAAGCTTTCAACATGATCGATCAGAATCACGATGGTTTCATCGACAAGGAAGACCTTCACGATATGCTTGCCTCTTTAGGTAGGATACTGCGCGTTAATCGATCGCTCGATACAATCCCTTTTCTTTCTTTTATCTTTAAACGAGCCACTTGGAGGCAATTTTGTGATGCCGCTTTCGAAAATTAACCCTTCTCGGGCGGCGGCCATTTTGTCGAACGAGTATCAAGGAAACGTAAAAATTTTTGTGGATTGTTTCAGGAAAAAATCCTACCGACGATTATCTGGAAGGCATGATGAACGAGGCACCGGGGCCGATCAATTTCACCATGTTTTTAACTTTGTTCGGCGAAAGACTTCAAGGCACCGATCCAGAAGACGTGATTAAAAACGCTTTTGGCTGTTTCGACGAAGAGAACAGCGGTCACATAAACGAGGAACGTCTCCGCGAATTGCTCACGACAATGGGTGACAGGTAACTTTATTAAACGTTAAATTTAAGATTGTCGAAGGGAGATGCGATACAACAGATTTATTCTGACTTTTTACCTTTCAAGATTTACGGACGACGACGTGGATGAAATGTACCGCGAAGCGCCTATCAAAGGATCAATGTTCGATTACATCGAATTCACGCGAATCTTAAAACACGGAGCTAAAGACAAGGACGAGCAGTGAGCAAGCGTGGCATTATTCGTACTTCATATTTGTGTGATTGAGCGCGTAACGTGCTTTTATATGGTTGCAATTGTAAAGTTTGAAATATTACTTGTATTTTATACATCCTCTATTAATGAGAATAACTGAAAATACCGGGTTTGTATTATTCTTCGAAAAACTGCCTTATCTATAGGTCCTAAGACGTGTAGATCGCATAAGCCTCTATATTTATTTGAACGTGTAACCAGTCAAAAATATATGCGAATGAAAGTAGTAAAAAAAATTAGATCTATATTTGGCAACGACTTATATTGCCTTAAAATCGATAAAATTAAAATATGTATTGTATATTATATCGCTACATTGATGTGTAGTTGTTGACAAATTTGCATTTATATTTTAATATAATAATGTATATCAAAAGCTTGATGTTTATCTTTTTATCCACTCTATTTGATACTTGGAAAGTTTGATGAAAAGTAAAATTCATTGTTGAGATCAATATTGTCCCATATCAAATAGAAGGTTTTAGCACACTAAGAGAAACTAATAAATCAACGAACGAAACGTTGAACTGCCATAATTCCACCGTAAAAAAAAAAAAATATGCTTGCATATTTTTGTACGACAAAGTATATTACTAGAGACCTAGCGCAGACTACAATTTCAAAACATTCTTTATGAAATCTACTAACATATCTAGCTTTTTTATCTTTCTACTATTGTTTTTGTATGACATCCTTAACTAATTTTATTCATACAGATGATATATCACTTTGAAGTTCTGGGAATGCCGAATTGCATCTTGCATTACTCCAAATTTGTTACTCGTATGACATCTCAGTGCAAGGTTATAAGAAAAAATTGTAGACCAGAGCACTTTAACGATAATACTAGAAAAAGGAGTTCGTAGCAACAGACTGTCTCAATATGTACAGTATTAGAAAATGTAAAAATCCATATCCTTTTACTGTAATAGTTTTTGTTTCGTTCGATAACCTTCATTTCTTGTTGTTGTACTCGAATTTATAATTAATTTCTTTATTACGATGCAACTTAATGCAAGACGTACGCCATGTGCGGAAGACATTTTCAGACACGATGAATGCTCAAAAGGCGTTTCCCGCGCGTAGTCTATCGATCGACTGACTGGGCGCCACTAACAGTCAGCAAAGCGAATAATCTTACGAATGATCCTACTATCAAGAACACGATGACCGTGAAATAAGATAATATTTTGTCTGGAGTGATACATACCCATTTCGAAAGTGGACAGGTCCGAGTTGATCCGACGAACAGAAAGAACCACGCTCGTTCTGCGTCTGCGCGACGCTCGTCTACGTACACTGTGCACAGAATAAAGTCCCACGAAGCCGCAGTATCATTTCCACTGGTAGCAGAGTGGGGTGCGCTTCGTCTCTCGATTTTCTCGGTCCTGGCACTCGCGGTGGCTTTCCCTGTCGCGTCCTTTCACTCGGTGGTTGTTACGTCCCCGAAAATACCCCGACAACGGAATAACCTTAAAAGATACACGCGGCTCGTAGTGCGTCCAGAGGCATCGGCGTTCGCCGATCCTCTCGCGGATGGGATAACAATCGACGATCGTCAGATCTCGAATATCGTTCGATGATCCACCGCGACTTCTCGATTCGCGGTGTGTTTACCAGTTTGGTGGATGTTAGTACAGTGAGTCACGGTGTCTCGTGTGGTCTCGTCATTCGCACGTACCAGTGAATTTCCTCGAATATACCGAAAGGCAACACGAAAACGCTTGGAAAAGAATGGTACGAGGGACAGAGGCAGAAGCAGAAGCTGAAGCTGCCAGCCGCGAATTGGGTTACGTCCCGTTCGCCTGGCAACGATATATGACGCAACGGCCACCCTTCGCGAGTACCGACAATCCTCGTAATCTTTGCGTGCGGCTTTAACTGCGACAGGACACTGTCGTTGAATCGAGTCGTGTGCAACCAACACGAAAAGATAACTCGAGGTGCGTTCCATGCGATCACCTCTATCCCCGCCCCTTTGCTCGCGACCACTCGATTGCGCAGCTAGTTTTGGAGGTTAGCCGATCACGATTGAGAAACCTCAACGAAAGCGACACCCACCGAGCGAGCCAGCCGGATCAGCTGTTTCCCAGGGCGACCTTTCAACGACTACCCTAGGTGAGTTTATCTTCTCTGCACGAATCGTTATCGCGTTATCGCG